AGCCCAGTCTAGGTTCCCTGACGCATCCCCTTACACAAGGCTACTTTTTGCATAAATTGATTCCTTCAGCATTTGCTGTGCAATGTCCTGGTATCAATATGTCTGTAATAAAGCAATGTTAGGATGTTTACTATTCTCGAAATCATTGAATATATAGATATATAAGTCTCACAGTTAAATCTACTTTTAGACAGGAATCTATTCGTTCTTTTAGAGAAGCATGCATTTTAAAGTAGAGAAACTTGAAAACTAAACATTAATTGTGTAACATGTATCCTTATTAAAACATATGTTACATTAGAGTACTAACCAATGCATGACAAATATTAGTATATGGGTGGTTTGTTTCTTTACCATAGATTGTTTATCAGAAACCTCTGTACCTTTTCCTTTCAAAGAGTCAATATTCATTTGTATTCCGTGCTGACAGCCACAAATTGATGGCTAGGGGTTATCAAATAAATGTTGATGAAAAGCAGTTACTTCACATTTTCATCCCAACAAAGGGTTTTGGAAGGATGGATAATTTAGATCTCAGGGCCCAACTATAAATAAACAGCAACTACTTTCTAAATCCCACCTTTCCGTAGTTGAAGATTGTGCTGCAAATCTAACAAATGATTTCTGAAAGAGAATGATGCAGCCTTATTACCAAGATGCTCTTAAGTTAATCCCAAACAAGAATCCTGGGTAATTTTACATACACTGTGAAGATTGATGGCGTAGTTCTCCTCTGGCAGCTTGCAAATGTTTGACTAGATCAGAAATGGCATTCAGGCATGATTAAAGATTCTACTGGGCCTCCCAGAAATTCTCCGTTCTGTGTCATCCACACCCTAACTCACTGCCATTGCTACAAGATGGCGACACCACACCCCAGTTCCTGTGATTAGCAACTGCATACAACCTACAGGCTTCTGATAAATTGTTCTTAAAAAATCATTTAGGGGAGCCCACAGCTCTAGCCAATGTTTATATGTCAAGATATCACTGTTATTTTATCACAATGGATCAGTAAGCAGTGGTGACAAATGGTAAAACATTGTTTCAAATATTTTATAACGGACTTGTTAACATTGTTTCCTTGATATGGCTCTTTCATCTTTTCTGAATTATGTACTGATGCCCCCCAAAAGTGGCATGAAAGTCATCTGATGATGATTAAAGTGCTATTTTTAATTTTTTTAAATCAGTTTAAAAATGTTTTATCTTGTATCAGCAGTCCTGGCTTATTTACTAATGAGATTTCCCTAATGTGGCTCAGTCTTATTCTGATGATAGGCAGACAGAAAAGCTGATGAGTCAAAAATTAGATACTTTTTTTAGAAAAATTAGAACTGTTATTAAACCGTCTTCTTATCTGATGATATAAAGATGTCACTCAGAGGCTGCCATTGGTACAGCTGAAAAGGGAATTCCCTGAGAAGCCAAAGGGTAGTGGGCTTGGGAATAAACGATGCTGTCACTATGCAACTGTCCAGCAAGAGAGGAAAGTAAAGTGAGTGTTGGTTGAACCGAGCATGAATCAGAGAGGGAGACTTTGCCAAATGCACACAGTTAATCTTCGGAGTGGAGAAGGTGGTTTCTGCTTTCAGGCGCCCCTACTGTACTGTGTCCTTCTACAAAGCCAGGGCCACTTGTGATGGGATTTAGACTGTGTATCACCCTGAGCCTAGTGGCAAAGGAATCAAAGCCAGCTCTTGATCAAAGATTGGGGTTTTCTAAAATTTATGGTTTTCAGCATAGTAGCCAAATGCAGGTTTACAGGAAATGAGGTCAATTGCAGTTGCTCCCAGATTCCATGGAGGGAAAATGCATGCCCCCAGCTCCCTCATCAATGGGATTCTGAATCAATGTACGTGCAGAACTTCTTGCAAGAGTGCAACATGATATCATTTTAGAAGGTCATAGTGACAAAATATTACATTGGGTTTGGAAGAATTCTACTCTTTGCTTTCCCAACTGGCCTGCTTTGATCTTTTCTCGGGATTGGTGCAACTGTGAAATGCCAGTTTGTCATGATGTGTGAATACTGATATTATAACACCCTCGGGTGGGAGTGGGGAGCTTGGATTTGGGGATGAGCTGACTGAGTTCTCTCACCACTTGGGAGTTGATGGCAAATCACCTGACCACTCTCTGGTGGTTTTGGCAGCTGCAAAGTAAAATGGAAATCTAAGACAGATATCCAGAAAATTATGCAAAACACCATCTCCACCTGAACTCTGCTGAGAATATAGAGGCCAAGATGATATTTGGCTGGAGTTAGCGGGATGAGCATCTCCATCCTTCAATTTGTCTTTCGAGGCACTCTGCTTCCCTTTTCTTCCACATGGGATGCAGAGGAGTCAGATAAGCCACTCGAAATTCTTTAGATAAATGTGCCAGGTGCTAAGCTAAGTGTTATTAGGAATAATAATTCAGTGAAAGGAAATTTGGATGACATGAACTTATTTCCATTAGACTTGAGCCACACAAATCAATTTGAAAAGAAACAGCTGAATCCAAGAAAATACTAGCTATTTGGGGAGTGGGCACAAAGAGCGGGTTGGGAAGTAACAAACCAATTACTATTTAATTAAGTTGAAGTCATGTCAGGTGTTCAAACGAATGAGACTTGTCTAATACAGTCACGCAGCCAGTTATTATCGGAAGTCGTCTCTATCCCACTCCCACTCCACACCCCTCCATGCAATTAGGTCACTTGACTGTATTTGACCATTTGGTTTGCGGACAAATTCAAATGTGACCACAGATGCTGACACTGAAGCCCCCCATCCCCCCCAAACAAGTCTGCTTTATAGCACTTTCCTAAAATTATAACACCTTGAGACCCTGATTCTCAGCATGACCTTGGCTCCCAATGGTTTGAGAGTGCAATCATAGTGAGTGCATTTGGGGGGATGATGCTCCATTAAGCACTCTCCTTGGGCACAACCCTATAGTGGCAGAAAAATGGTAAGCTTTGGACAGTAAGCTTTGGGTGGGGACAGAAATGCATTTCCCATCAATCAAATGTCCTTAATGTTTTCCTAATGGTGACCTTATCCCCAGGTACCTTTTTGCATCCTTTTCTGCAACCCCCCTCCCTATCAGCTGATAATTAGTTGATGCGGTAAGGGCCATGATGCACATAAATAATCATAAGATGCCAGATAAACTGTATTGGTTTTAAATTAGAGCCGTGCCTACCGTGTCTCCCTATGAACACCAGCCTATTATTTTTAATTATGGCTTGCAAAGCAAAGTGATTTCTTGCCCTCTTTACAGCATCCCTGACAGTATTCTGTCAGCCCGGATGATATGGTGCCCCATCGGCACACACATCCCTAGCCACAACGCCAACTGTTACTCAAAAGGTAAAGCAAAAGTGATCCATTGCACCCATCACCACTTGCATTTTGAAGTGGGCTGGGAGGAAATGTACCCCCTTAGCCACGGTCCCATTGCAAATACGGAATGAATATGACATTTAGAAAAAGGTTTTCACAGGATCTGGATGAATTAAGAAATATGGCATGTGTCTGCATGAGACATATATGTATGGCAGGGAGTTTGTGTTTATGGATCTGTATTAAACATTTTAACACAACATTGCAAACCCTTCCCCTAGCAGCACCGTGGGTAAAGAATAAAGGAAAGATCTGGCACCAGTCCCGCTTGGGTTTTCTACCTGATGGGCCATTATTAGAGTGGTTTGTTTAATTCAGGCAGAAGGATCTAGAAACATCTTGGTGTCAAATTACATTATGCATTGAGAAGTCTAGGGGTTGGATGAATTTGTTCTTGTGTGTTCAAAAGGATACCATCTTTTTCTCTTTGCTCGGAAGAGATGTCTGATGTGATTTGTTGATATGTGTATTTATTTTCGAAGCCTTTTCCTGCATGAGGTGTAAAAAGTCACACCAGCTTTACGAGCGGAGTTTATGAACTCGTTTTTCCAGGATGGTCACATCATACCTTTCACAGTCGTGTGCTCTGAGTTCAGTCCTCTTTGCCGTGCTGAGCTCCAGTTACAACTGAACCGGGTGGGGAGAGGCTCGCTAATTCCCAGACAGAATAAAGTCATCTTGTTACCTCTTTTCTTAATTAAAAAAATTTTTTTTGGTCTTTCTTCTTTGACTTCCAGCAACAAGGAGCCGCCACCACCGTCTACTGTGCTGCTGCTCCAGAACTCGAGGGTCTAGGAGGGATGTATTTCAACAACTGTTGCCGCTGCATGCCCTCCCCAGAAGCTCAGAGTGAGGAGACGGCCCGGGCCCTGTGGGCGCTCAGCGAGAGGTTAATCCAAGAAGGGCTTGGCAGCCAGTCCGGCTAAGTGGGAGCTCCGGCAAGGATTGGCACACACACCCACCCTGTGTGTGTGCCCGTGCGTAACTGCCAATGATAGACCCTTTCCAACTTCTTATCCAGGGGCTTTCCATGTCCCTCCGACACATCCGCCAGAGTAAAGGAAATAAGAGTAGTCATAACCCAGTGAAAAATGTTAGGTACCAATGAGGAGCAGGGAATTCTAGGGGTAAAGGGGCAGTATCTCTTTCTGGGGCTGCCTTAGGCTTGGGTCCCTTTGCTTTTCCAGTGGTGGCCTGTTTGAAAGTGAGTGCTTAGTTGGTACACGGTTTCCTTGTTCCTTGTAGAAGCACAAGCAATTCTCTCTCACTGTTTAGGACAGCCCAGTGCCCCCATCCCACCCAGCCACCATCACAGCTACAGCGTACCATGGCCACACTGTAACCAGGAGCTGGCCTTCTCCTCTTTAGGGAGGAAAAAGCCAGTGTTTATCCTTCTTTGCTACACTGGTCCAGGAAATAATTGTTTCATTCATCCTGACCAAGTCTAGTGGGCTTGGCAATGACTTGAGAGAGAACTCTCTGACCCTTGTTCCAGCCAAGATGGAGGTGACACTTAGAAACGGGTGGGCTAGACAGAGCGAGTGGGTTGCAAAAGCACTGGTCCACCGACTCCCTTGCCAAAGCTATACAAAAAATTCTTTAGAGATCATAACAAACAAATTTTGCAAATCATTCCCTAGACACCTTGACAGGCAGGAAAGGAAGCACTGCGTCCATAAGAATATACAGGATATTTTGGGGGTGGGGGATAAAAAGTCGTTCACTTCATTCCTCATTCACCGTTTCAAGAAGCAACCTGATCGTGAGGGTTCCCAGCCTGCCAGTGCTCCTGCTATAGCATTCTGCTTAAAATTCTTCTTATGCCTCCCATCCTATGCTTAATAAAAGAACATGCTTGAATATGATCGCCTGAAGTTTGTATTGTTTCTTTAAATGTTTGTTTCAGTTTTGTTTTGTTTTTTTAGAAAAGAAATCTAGAGGAAAAATAAAGCGCTTCTTGTAGACACCAGGAAAACACCATTCTTGTTTCTTCTCTGAGTTTGTTTTGTTTTTGTGCTTTGTGGCTGTCTGTGGGCCAAGTTGTCTCACGCGATTAGCATGCCAGCATCATATTTTCTGTTGAAGAAAGAAAGAAAAAGAAAAATGACTATGGTTTAATTTCACCTTCAGAGGTTTTGTTATTGCTGAGAGTAGGCTAGTTCAGCCCTCGAGGTTTTGTTCCCTGCTAACTATCAAGTTTTTGGTGGTTAGAGAATATCTCTTTGTATCAGAATGGGGTATGGAGGCCCTTTCCCACTCATCCCTTTTTCACAAAGACCTTGGTTTCCAGGCCATTCCAGCAGGGAGGTAAGAAAGTCCACTTTGGCAAGATGGAGAGAATGCTTTTGCTGAAATACCAGGAAAGTGGGGCGGGGATGTCTGTGTCATTGTTCCTCCTCCTGATACTGGCAGCTTCAGGCCAGACAACATCGTGAATCTCCGGGCCTCTGGCTCTGTGGTACAGTCCAGTCAAACACCATTGCTTGCCAGTGGCCCACAGCCTGGCTACCTCCCCCTATCTGGCTGTAGTCTCCCTTATAAAATCCTTATTTTCATAGCTCATTTAAAACTATGAATCAGATCATGTCACTTTTCTGGTCCAAACCCTCCAGTGCTTCTGAGGTTGACCATTTACAAAAGTAGCCATCATAATTCTCCTCCCAGTCTCCATACCTTTGGTGGTCCTCTCCCACACTAACTCTGGCCTTGGCCACGTGATTTGCTTTGGCCAATTTGAGAAGTGCTTGTGCCTTGGGCCTTACCCTCTCTTGCTGCTCTTTGGAACCCTGCTGCCACCGTCTTATGAATGAGCCTGGGCTAGCCTGCTGGATGATGAGAGACACGGGTCGCTACCCAAACTGACATCAAGCTAGCCATTAGACATGCGAGTGAGGCCAGCCCAGACTGTTAGGCTCTAGCTGAGCAAACCCAGTTAAGGAGAAACTCCCCAGTCAACCCACAGAACTGCAAAAAAGAAGTTTGTTATGTTAAGCTACAAAGCTTCAGGATTACTTGATATGCAGCAAACGCTAACTGATACAACTTCTCATCTCACTGAGAAAAATCCAGATTTGTGTGTGTGTGTGTGTGTGTGTGTGACGAAGATTAACTTGAAGCTAACGTCTGTTGCCAATCCTCCTCTTTTTTGCTGAGGAAGATTGGCCCTGAGCTAACATCCATGCCCATCTTCCTCCCTTTTATATGTGGGCCGCCTGCCACAGCATGGCTTGATAAGTGGTGTGTAGGTCCATGCCCGGGATCCAAATCTGTGAACCCCGGGCCGCTGAGGTGGAGTGTGCGAACTTAACCACTACGCCACTGGGTGGATCCTCCAAATTTTTTACCATAGCCTAGGAGTTCTCTCATAATCTGGTCCCAGCTAGCTCTCTGATGTCATGCTCTAGCACTTTCTCCTCACCCACTACATGTAGCCACTCCAGCCTTCTTGGCCTCCTGAAATATGCGAAGGACTCTCGCTACTCAACGACTTTATACTTGCTGTTCCCTCTGCCGTAATGCTTTTCTTCCAGAAACTTGCATGGCTTCCTCCCACACTGCATTCTCATCCCTGCTCAAATGTTACCCCCTTTCTGATGAGGTGACATCCACTGCATTCATGGTGGCATCTCATTTGCCCACCGCTTACCCTTTATTTTTCTCCACAACATTTAATACCATCAGACTCATTATGTGTCTACATATCTATTTACTATGTTCCCTCTGCACCTTCTGTAATATAAATTCCATGAGATTTGTCTATTTTGTTTACAACTGTGGCCGCAGTGCCTTGACCTGCTGCTGTCCCATAGTAGGTGCTTAATACATAACCATTGAAGGAAAGAGTAATTCTTGGTGACTGGGTATTATGTTCATGAAAATAATTCTCATCATTGTGAGAATGATGGCAAGCCACACGCTGTGCTAAGCAGGCTGCAACATCATGTCTGATTTCTAATGTGACCACAACCCTACTGGGTGGCCCTCCTCTTCTGTCTTATGGATGAACAAACTGAAGCCAAGAGGTTTCATAATTTGCCATTGTCCACCCAGCTTATAAGTGATAGAATTGCAATTCATACCCGGGTTGGTTTGATTTCAAAGTCACGTAGCTTCCCTGCACCAATGCTACCAGTCCTTCAGTAAGGTGAACACGTCCTTCCCGGCCTTAAGGTCTCAGGCTGAGCAGAGGAGTAAGCGACTTTATGGGTCTGACTCTAGCTAAGTTTCAGGCATTTGCTGAAGATGGAAGTTAAGCCACTCAAAGAAGACGTTGGAGTATCATCAGCCAAGATGATGTCCAAAACATCCAAGAGAACCACGGCAGCCTGCCTTGTTGTGCTGTTCAGGCCTCTGTGCTGACTGATTCCCATGTGAGTCCTGCATCAGGCAGGTCAGATGAGGCTTGGGGGAACTTGACAAGGGCAGGTGAGTATTCCCCTAAATCAAGAAGCTCCCTGAGTCAGACAAAGTCTTCATGCAATCATTCATTCAACAAACGTCTACTGAGTGCTACATTGTAGAAATTCAGAGTTTAGGGTGACCCCCCCCCCAGTTCCTGCTCTAAAGGAATCGATATCTTGGGTCTGTGGGAGTCTTCACAGTGCACAAAGTCCTAGTCAACTTTATCAAAAGTTCTCCAGGTTCCTCGAAGATACACTGAGGCCCCAGAACAGTAGCCAGGCCTGCTCTCTCCCAGTATGCCCTGAGTCCACTCAGACAGACACTGCCAGTCCCTGGGAGCCATTTCTCCAGCCAGACGCATTAATCTTACTCCTTTGGCTAATTCTTTGGGGGGATTCCTGGACAGGTGAACAAGTAGTGAACATAAAGCCTCGCTCCTTTTTTAGCTAATTCTAAGCCCAATGCTATTGCTCACTGTCTGTCATGATATATGTATGTATGTGTGTTTATATATATATATAATATATATGTACATGTAATCTATACTTTATTCATATAATAATGATCCTACTCTACCATTATCACCACTACTAATTGCAGATACTATTTATTGAGCATCTACTATGTATCAATTGCTGGTCTAGGCATATCACACTCATCTTCTTATTTTACGTTCAGATGATGAAACAGGGTTACAGAGACGAAGTAACCTATCCACAGTCCCAGAGCTGGTGAGCAGCAGAGGAGTCAGGATTTGAGTTCCTGTCCATCACCTTCAAGCCCATGTGCCTTCCACTACAAATCACTGTTTAATGGGTGGCCTCTAGGCCAGCAGTGTAGGTACATCAAAGTTGTACAATGGGTGAATTATTCACAAAGGAAGACTATTGGGCTTCCTACCCAAGGATGAGATCTGGCTCTCTTCCTGGTGCCCAATGCCTGGTAGAAACTTTACAAATTGTTTCTGTACATGCTATTAGTGCAGTAACATTGGCTTCAGCCCCATAGACTCCTTCTCCTGTTCAGGTTGTAAATAGGTCTGCATCTGGCTTTGTTTCCCTGGGTTTAGCTTCTAATGGACTCAATGTCCAGAGCTCTCCACCACTGCCCTGATGCCATAGAATCACCCAGAACAGGAAGAGTGAGCCAGTTTCTCTACGGTCATTTTCTTTCGAGTTGCTGTCTCTCCCTAAGTTTCTTTAAACCCAAAAGGCAACCAGTTTCCACTTTCACGGCTGATTAAGGGAGACCTTTCTGCAACTTATCAATAGGAAACAAGAAATTGAAGCATCCCCGGCTGTGACTGAAGCTGTGGCTTGTGGTTTTGCTCTTTAAAATGGGGTTCTGGGTGGTTTTGTTTTGAACTTCAATGAAGGAGGCCTGATGACTTGCATTAAGGTCAGCACTGGGCCAGAGCCTTGGCCTGCAAAATGGCTGCCCGTTCTGGTCGCCAGCAGATATCGTTTTTAGAAGTTTACGTTAAGAAAAGCATCTAAAATAGCAATACTTACCCCGTGTGTTAACTCTGTGCCTTTCAACATATCCAAACTAGTTTGGTTGAATTCATTTTAGAATACTAAATGATATCACAAAATATTATCCACATGATCACAGAAAAAAACTAGTCTGAATTATGTCTATTGATGAGATGATGTACTAACAATAAAGAATTTTTAGAAAGAAAAAGAAAGGCTCAAATACCACTATTCTAACACAGATATTTTCATCATTGTTTATTACGTTTCAAGTCTTCATACTATTTGGTGTCATGCCCTCCTTTGATCATTTTCCCCCCAAATTATCTTACTCCTCAGTTTTCACAGTTCTTTTAATGGATGCCTAATAAATCGTCTTGCTGGTGGGTCATCATTTGGAAACTCCCACTATGGGACATTTAGGTTATTTCTAGTTTTTGCTGTTAGAACTAATGGCTCAATTCGCATCTTTATGCATACAGCTGTTTCCTTTTATTAATTTACCTCCTCAGCATACAGTTGCAGAACTGAAACTGTTGGGTCCAAGAGCTCTTCTTTGGCTCTTGCTGCCTATTTCCATGTGCTGTCTGGAAAGGTTACCACCAGCAGAATGTGCATGTTTCTGTTTTTTTGCAACATCATCAGCATTGGGCGTTGCCATTTAATTTTTTTTTTATATTTTAACTTCACATTGTCACAATCTATAACTATTTATATAAAATACCCACAAGCAGCCAGTATCCTTATTTAAAGTATAAGCATTTTATCTTTCATTTTCCCACTGGACCAAGTTCACAATTTTAATTAGAGTGGAAATTCTGGGTGAGTCTACATTCGGTTTGGGCAGGAAAAAATCAGTTCAGCCAACAAGCTACTGCGTCTTTACTACATTCTTCAATCAGTGAATGTCTTGCCTTTTTTTTTCTTTTCAGTCACCAATTGTTGCACTCCACAGACCCCATCTGAATGCCGAGACCAAAATCAAGAGCCAAGCCTCTTGGGTTCATCTGGCTTTTGTGTTTACCCCACTAGCTGGAGTACTGTCTGCTTTTCTGGAATGTGCCACATCACTCAGAAAGATTGTCTTGCTTCTAAGCTGATCTGTTTACAAGGCCATGCCCTGCTGCCATCTTAGGTGTGAGAGAATAAAAGCTTCTTTTAATTTTCAAAATAGGCATATGCAAATAGAGGGTCCACCAC